CCCTTTTTTTTTTTTTTTTTTTTTTTTTTTTTTTTTTTTTTTTATCTGTATATTTTTGTATGCGTGTTCAGACTTGTGCGATATACATATCTATGGTATTATTATACTACCAAATTATAAATAAACGATTGATTTTGAATTTTTTGTATTTGTCCGAAAAGTATACGAACGCATATTTTGAAATACTTAATAATGTAAATTGTTTTAACATTATTTTTACCCTCGAAATGTGGAAATGTTTAAAAATTTCGTGTTAAACGAATTAATTCAAGGTTGACGAGCCTTCGTTTACATGCCCAAAAACTGTTTCCATACGGGCAAATGAGGAAGCTGCGATAGACGTTCGATTCGAGCCTTCTATTATTGGAAATACGAACGCCACGATCAAAGCAATGTCGAGCGCAACTGGTGAATTCATGTGAGCCATTTTCGAAAAATATAACGTAATTAATAGGTAAATTAAAAATTGCAAATCATCCATTTATATTTCAAGTTTCCCCATCATTGGTCAAAGCACGTTACCACAACCTCAGGGACCCTTTGTTGTAACTACCAGAGAGCCAATATCGATCAATTTCAAAAATGTTTTCCTACAAACAACGGTGTTCGACTTTTCCTTAGATAATCAAAATTTTACAATAAATTGTAATAACGAAAGTCTCGATCCAAAACAGGTAAGCAAGCGATTATTAATATCTGTTAATATTCTAAATTTAATAATCGAACGTTTTAACATTACTCCCAGTGTTGCGATATTATCGTTACATTAAAAGACGATGTGATACAAACGGCAAAGACAAAAGTTGGAAAGTTAATAGTGACTTGTAAGGATGGGCAGTCACAGAAAATCGAATGGATGTATTATTTGAGAGGCGTAGTATGTCTATTGGAGTAGCTGATTAATTTATTATTTTTATTCATCTATTCAATTAGAAATAACGATTATGAGGCACATGTTAATAGCCATTAAAAATATGTTAATAAAGGAATATTTCAAATGATTTTAAAGCCTAAAGAATTATTAAGAATAAGCCTATAAAAAAGATAAAAATATAAAAAAAAAAAAAAAAAAAAAAAAAAAAAAAAAAAAAAAAAAAAAATTCAAAAGTGTTCGATGCAGATTTTTAGATTTAACGGCACAGGTACCACAAGCCATTAAAAAAAAAAAAAAAAAAAAAAAAAAAAAAAAAAATATGAACAAGAAAAACTTTGTACATAAAGTATTTAATGGCATTTAACGCCCGAGATGTATTTCTATAGTCGTAGCTTCTAAATATCGCGTTCCGTAATATTGCTTTTTTTGCATTCCTTTGGCTTATAAAATATTCAAAAGATAGTTGTTACTTGCGAGTGAGTATGGAAGGGAAGCTCTGAAGTAATAAATAAGCAGCTGTCGGTAATAACTGTGTGATTATAGCGCACACCTTAATCACTGAGACTTTTACCTCTGATTTTAAATGCCGAGCACACCTATACAAGTGCCGTCAACTCAAAAAGGTTTCTCGCAACTAAAACCCCGTTGAGCAATTGCCAGATCGCGAGGACAGATATTCATTCGCCGGGGAATGCGTTCGCGCGTCTCGGGGCATTCCGCCGGAGACGATGGCGATCGATACGAGACTCTGGGGCATCTCCTCTCATCTCCATGGCGACGAGGCGCGATGGCCGCCCGGGAATCCGTGTCTCCTTCGCTCCAACGATTATTTATACGAGGCGCAAAGGCTGAGCATCCGCTAAAACTCCATTTCGCATCAAAGGATTCGGTTTTCCCCGAGCTCGGTGTCTTGTTTCCACTTTAATACTATTTACATGGATAAGCCAATGAGATTTTGAATTTGTCAGGAGATTCGAGGTAGTCTAATGACGGGGGCTTGGTTACGAGCGTAGATGCATTTTACACGATGCGAGTTAGTCCAACATCTCCAAGGGTTGCATGTGCATTAAAATGAAGATGCGCGGATACTTGGCAAAAAAAAAAAAAAAAAAAAAAAAAAAAAAAAAAAAAAAAAAAAAAAAAAAAAAAAACCCAATGGGTGAACAATACACGATACTTAATTTTCGACTATTGCGACTCTGGAATCCTAAGTAAACAAATTTTTAACCTCAACGTCTCTCTAATGCCCGATTTACCACCGTAAAGATCTCTTAATGCGGAGATTGTAAACGATCGAAAGTCATAAAGCAACATGTATACCGTCGTATAGAATCTTCCTGCTGCCTTTTCACTTACCCGATTACTCTATGACTCGGTATTCATTCTACACGCAGACCTGCTTAAGCACACACACACACACACACACACACACACACACAGAGAGAGAGAGATGTATGTATGTATGTATATATATATATATATATATATATATAAATAGCTGTGTTTATAAATTATTGCTAAATACCAAGATTGCCAAAGTATTTTAGAAGATTCCATCATTATAATACCAATCCCAACTTCAATATCGTTTACTCTGAATTTCTAGCAACATTAAAATAAAAATCATTTAGATTAACATTTTAATCAATGTTATCGATTGTTATTCTTGAAAATATAATTGAAGAATCCAGAATTATCAGTCATTATAATAGTCAGCTATACGGGACATTTTTGCGCGCAAATTCGATTATCCGTGTAAGCGTCGTAAACGTGGAAATGTATTAGAAAGCACGCGTAGCCAAGCATTTCCTCCTCCTTACGTCTACATCCGATCCCGACGTTTTCCAAGTTATTTAAAAGTAATGCATCACGTAGACCAAAATAGAACGTGTCTAGTATAAAAATCATTGTTTTCTCAAGTAATAACGGCATTGGCTCAATTAGCAATTGAATAAAGCGTTGCTCACCGTCAACCCGAACGCTCAAATTAAACGAACTACCCTTTGAATTTCAATTAAATCTCGCTCAGAAGGAAGCCGACTCAATGTAATTTCTTTAAATTATCTGCTGACGCAGAGGCTTATTCTTGCGAGGGGTGCGCGAGCCCAACGAAGTTAGCTGCGTAATGATGTTCCTCTTGGTTCCGGAACCCACCAGTGAGACTCATTAACGACTGACGGCGAAGCAAGTCGAACTAAGCCTCGACTTTTCTTTCACTTTGATTCGACCTAACGCAATCTAGGACGCGTGCGCGGATACTGCTCGCGGGGTGCCGAGATGAACGAAGGGAGGATGTGAAGGATGACTGGATAGAGGAGGAGCAGGATGAGGAGGAGAAGGAAGAGGAGGAGGAGGAGGAGGAGGAGGAGGAGGAGGAGGAGGAGGTTACCCTCAAAAGAGTTACCTGTGTTTCCCGCTGATTTTGCAAAGCCTTTCACCGTCTCTCCCCTCGTCGCGAATGCGCAGTTTTACGCGCTCTCGAGCGGTTGAATTCGCCGCCGGCAGTGGCGTTGAGACTATTTTGATCGGATTGACGGTTCTTGTGAAATTACGGCACATTTCAATGCTGATTCTCGCTTGCGAATGCACATTACGTTGTGAATTATGCTTTTAATGACATCTGTACTTTGAGGCGTTCAATCATTAATGCAATGTGAGGAGTATTGGGCCAACGCGAGTTGTACACCTAGCGAAATTATAAACTGAAAGGCCCGTTGGGATGACAATGAAACAACGTTGTTGAAAATAAAAGAGCGGAGTCGAGCGCATAACGTGGCTGCAGGTTCGTTTTAATGTGAAAATATACAAAATCGAAAGAAGAGAAAAAGGGGTCGAGAAATTGAGGCATTACCGGGACGATAAGTGGTAATTGATTCTTTACGCCCCTTGATTTATGAGTTGGAGAACGCCACGTTTTGGGGTAAAAAATCAGTGATTCTGATAGTGGTAAGCGTTACCCCTTTGTCTCCTCACTCCATTCTCTCTCTCTCTCTCTCTCTCTCTCTCTCTCGCTCGCACACTACACATGTCCACATATAGTAGTATATCTACTTGCTATAGGAAACAAGCAACATCTATTCTGGTAATTTTATGCTGATATTGCACATATGCGACACCGCGTGTATTTTCTTTTATAAACGAAAGTAACGACTAATCTATTTCCATCTTTATAAAAAGAAAATTTACCGTCGAACCGAATCGAGCTCGTTTATCTAGGTGCTATTGACCCCTTTTCCGCATCTCTTTTTATTATTACTCCAGCCGTACCGATCGTGGCGAATTTTAATGTTCTCTATCGTCCAACATTGAAATGTTAATTCATGATACAATGGACATTTTAGTTGTTTCATACTATTAATCCGATGTAATCGCTTCTTATTCATAAATTTTCATTTAATTGTTGGCTTTTTTATCCCTCTATTTTCTGTTCATAATATATCAAAAATGAATTTTAAGTACTTTTCATTTAATTTCTTGAAAATCACGGTGCCCTCCTCGTCATATTTTGCCCCAAACTATTAAATTGATACTCGTTGACATTTGATATTTGTTGCTTTCTGATAATTTAAATAATATAAAAAGGTAAACCATGATATATCTATATCTATATATATATATATATATATAGATATTAATAACTGAATTGCAAATAAATTTCATTTTAATTTGATTAATGACATTTAGTTTTGTTAATAAATTTATGTCGATTAGAAGGCTAAGGAAATTCTAATAAAAAAAAAAAAAAAAAAAAAAAAAAAATAAAGTGATAGATTAGATCCAGATATTTTCACGTATTATTTCAATAGCTTTAATGTAGTAAGAAAAGCATACAAACGAATAATATTGTTGTGTAAGGGTAACCCGATTTAAGCTGTAATACGTGTGTGATACCGCTTTTTATTGCCAATGTAGTGGTGATACTATTGTATCCAGCTTTATCCAATATTTTGTAATCTCAAACCATTTTTGGTGTGAGAAATATAAATAGCGGGAAAGGGGTGTAAACTAACATTTACCACAAAATTCAATAAGATTATTAATGAGTTATGACATGGATTTTTTACTTTTATTTTAGTAAACACGCCAAGTTGAGCGTTCTAATGAAACAATACAATTACACAAAATGTATAAAGATCCTTATAACTGTTTAAGTATACCACAATAAAACTTACAAACTTATAAACTACAATAAGAGAAATAATCCATAATTTATCTCATTAACTATAAATGATTATAACAAATATCTTATTCAATAATACATCTAAAAATTGTAATGGTGACAGGACTTTTAATAAAAACTGTTGAATAAAAATATAATATGTTTCTCATTCAAAATATGTAAAGTTAAACATAAAGATACTTATAATTCTTTTATGCTATATGTTATATAAATTATACTGAATTAATGAAAGGAATTGAATAATTATTTTCAGATTAATTAATGTAAATTTAAAATTCCATTTTAGTTCCTTAGAGAGCGTATAAACATTTTTTTTTTTTTTTCATTTCTTATTTGACGTTAAAAATATTCTTGATTTACAAATAATATATAGATGAAAAGGAGTTTTTAGATGAATGGTGCGTATTGACACAACTTGTTGAAAAAGTATAAAAAAATTATTGTTTTAGCATCGAGAGTCTATATTAAGTATTATCGATCAGCTATTCACGAAATGCAACGAATCGATTATCTTCAATACAAACTCAAATATACTTAGTTAAGAACAATGTAAAATATACAAATAAAATTCACCCGATTAACAGAGAAAAGTTTCATGCATTATCGTCCTTTAAAAGGAAGAAAAACGCGTATGTGAGAAGGTCTTGTACACATATGATGTCTTAATAACGAAACTCGCTTAGTAAAACATGAGATAAAGAGGGGAAGATGCGCATCCCTCGAGGATTTTTTTCGAGACACGAGTTGTTTGATTTCTCAACGCGATAAAAAGCGTCTCTGTGTAACACACACACACACATATATATATATATATATATATAAACGTCGGTAGTCCCTCCTC